TAAAGGTACACGTAACTGGCTTTCATTAAAAGAAATATCGGAAACTAAAAATCAGTATCTTTATTGGCACCGAGAGAATAAAGATATCCGTATCGGTTAGGCAAAACCTAAGAATTTAAATATTTACGGTCTTAAAGAAGAAACGCAACGTACAACCGTTAAAATAACGTTAGAAATGACGTATCCGTGTCTTTCAGATACTTCAAAATGATGATGCCTAACCCGGTTAGGCTTACAATTTAATTTGTCACGTGTTACAGATACACGCAGGCACTCAAGAATTTTACTATTTAATGTGTTAAAGGAGTAACGCAACGTGCTATCGTTAAAATAACGTGATAAACGACATATCGGTGTATTTATAGGCCAATTTAAAATGAAGATGTCTGAGTCAGTTAGGCCCACAATTTAAATTTTCGTGTGTTAAAAGGTATACGTCACAGACTCTGATTGATGCAAAGTCAGTAAAGAAATGTCAGCGTCTTTATATGCACTTTTAGGCCCCAAGTTTAAATTTTCGTGTGTTAAAGGTATACGTCGCAGATTTTGTTTGATGCAAAGTCAATAAAGAAATGTCAAAATGTCAGCGTTTTTATAGGCACTTTTAAAATGAACATGCCTGAATCGGATAGACCGTCATTTAAATTTTCAAGTTTTAAAAGTACAGGTAACTAACATTCATTAAAAAATATTAGAAATGAAAAATTAATGAGTCTGAGAAAATGGAGATATCTTAATCGGTCAGGCAAAACCTCAAAAATTTTAATTTTAATGTTTTGCAGGACTGTAGTATGCATCTGAATTTCGTTAAAATACGTTAGAAACGAAATATCAGTGTTTTTATAGGCACTTTAAAAACCATTTTCATGTGATAAAGAAATTTCGGCTAAATGAAGCCTGAAACGAAACATGAACGTCTTTATAGGCACTTTTAAAATAAAGAAAGAACTTCTATGCCCGACACTCAACGATTTAAACTTTTTTCAAACAAATTTAATAAACAGCAGGAAAAAAATTATATCATGGATTCTGATCAGATATAAAAAGTTGATTGAAAATGGAAACTGAACTAACTTGATCCGAGATATATTACATAAAATAGGCTATGAAACTCAGCCAGCAGAACAAACGGTTGTCCTTAAAAATCCAACTATATTAAATGCATTGAAGTTGATAGCAATTGATCTGTTTTGCTAAATGTTAATTACGCTAATTTCACATTAAAAAAATTAAAAACTAGAATGGTTCTTTCAACAACCATGTATTTTTATTTAAATTTATGTAAGGCTGTTGAAATTAGACTGACCTCGTTCATTGAAACTTGGATTGTTGGTTGACCAATGGTTATTTGGTCCAACAGACCACGAAACTTAATACATCTTCTTAAGAACATCTTTAATTAATTATCACAAGACAAGACCATATAAAAATACGAGAACAAAATTAATTATTTGAAATTTGTTAACTTTATACTTCTACGTACTCGAATTTCTATGATAATTTTTTTCAATAGATAAAATATTCTTTTTTTTTTGTACAACAATTCTTACATTTACTTAAGTTGCAAAGAATTAACAGTTCTTATAGAGGTGTGAAGTGTGATATATAATTGATCACGTTTTGGAAAATGGGGCTATCCTTTATGGAGCCAGGAGTATAATTCGATAGTAACGGCTCGTCATGCCTGATGGAAAATTTGATCAGCGTTTCTTTGAAATAAAACATCAATAATAATAATTTGAATTAATAAAACAAAGATTCGCATAATTACAAGATAATTTAGAATGGCTCAGATAGAGAATGTTACAAGAATAACTTTATACAGTATAGATCATTACTGTTAACAAGAGATGCCAAAAGGGAAGAAACTTTTGAATCATGAGATACTATCTATTATTAAACCATCGTCGATTTTTCTTTTAAATTACGCATCGAAGCGTTAGCGAAAGCACGAAATTGGTTTTCAAACATTTCAGCGGTTTTCGCTCTTCTCCTTCGCCACCTCACGTCGGGTCAAGTGGATCCGAAATTGCCAGGTGATCAACGGTTTCTACGGTTTCCTTTTGATTATTTTTTAGATAGAAGCAGTACAACTGATTAACGAACATCCTTGTTTAAAAGAAGATGTCAATAACCCTATCTATTCTGGAAGGGTAAATATTTAGGAAGGCAATTTTTACCTTGCTTTCACCTAGGATGCATATAGCATACATTTACAAAAAAAAATCATTAATTCATAACAATCAATAAGTAACATAAAAAAAGAAAAGGTTTAATTATATTTGGCCACGAAATGTGAAAGATAATAATGAAATTACTATTAATTAAATATAGCATAAAAGAAATCCCCCGTTCACGTCTCTTGAAAGTTAAGTAAAGCCTCTAAAATACAACAATTATATAATTTTAAATGAAAATAAAGGGTTTGTCCGTCCCAATGCCTTGCACAGTACCTAATTCTGTAAAAAATAACATTTATAAGTTCTACTGTGCATGTTGAGCATATCGCAGAAGAGATTTTTCAAAATAAACACATGCTTAGATCGATATCTACAAACCAATGTGATAAATAAAGACAGGCTTTGCTTACATCTTTCAGGATATGGTTGACTGCGTTTTGTCACGAAGCTTTCGAGCTAAACTGCCTTAGTTGTGTTTCGACAAGAGCTTCCGACAAGTCTTATTACACGGATATCAACATCAACGAACCATTTCTGAACAAACCCGATAGACAATTTAATTTCCAGCGATATTTGACCAATTCAAGAATAAACATCGAAAAATTATAATTATTTGGAGATTGTGAGATGCGGTCTGGTGTGACGTAGGTTTTAGAAAAACATTTCTCTATCGTGCCAACGTTTCGATATTTATTGAGATCATCTTCAGGGCCTTGCGTGGTCTGCATTTCACCAAAAAAGTTCTCTGATTGATAGCCGATGCAAGTTTCTTTTCATTACTGGAGATGTCTCTTTGCTTGCTGTCCATATGCAGTTAACATCTGTTTACAGAATCCCATGTTCTTCGTTCTTCTCGGTTAGAAATGTGTGGTATTTAGTGACCGTTAGTTAATGATTAACTCAGACAACACAAGGCCCTAAAGATGATCTCAATTAATATCGAAACGTTGGCACGATAAAGAAAATGTTTTTCTAACACTATCATTATTTGACGGTCAGTGTTATATACAGGGGGTAAGGCATCTTTGAGTCATTTTATTTGACATATCATCGTCGAAATTCTGTCTAAAAGGCCAAAAACGGCGACCCAAATACCCAAATCAACCATAGATCTCAACGAAAAATTTCACAAGAGATTTTTATGTAATTAGGTCTTTTTGATCACCAACTCTATCTGCCCAAGCTGTTTTGTCTGTAAGATGTGGCTTTTTGTTCTATCTATATATAGTAACGTAGTTTTGCTCCATGGAGATTGTGGGAAATTTGTCTGTCATGTTTTGGATGCAGTTCATCGCAGAATTGTACAAAACTAACAATTTAAATCGTTTGCCTCATTCAATTCACCCAAATAGGAATACTGCCAATTTGAAACAAAGAGTTTAATCGAAGTCCCATTCCTTTGATAAAAATAACAATATCTGAATTTAAAACATTCTGCAAATTCATTGTTTATTTTTAATTTGTACGGATTGAATTTTGTCGAGAAGTGCTTAATTAATAGCAACTTTACAGATGCTTAATTCGCCATCTCAACTCCGTGGCTAATAAGAGTTTTACTCTTAAGTATTCGAAAAAGCCTAAAAGAATTCCTTGTTATAAAAACTTAGTTTGGATTGTACTCTTTTTATAAAGCAACGTTGTTTAGCAAAAAACAAAGTTTGTGGTAAAAATGTTTACGTCAAGGTCGTTAGATGCAGGTCGTAGCACAGTTGTAGAAAACTGCCAATTTGAAACAAAAGAGTTCAATCAACGTCCCATTCCTTGGATCAAAATAACAATACCTGGAATTGTAGTCATTCTTCAAATACATTTTTTATTTGTATGGACTGAATTTTGTTGAGAAATGCTTAGTTATTAGCAACTTGACTGATGCTTAATTCGCCATCCCAACCCCTTGGATAATAAAAGTTTTAGACTTGAAATATTCGGAAAAGTCTAAAAACAACGTTGTTTGGCAAACAACAAAGTGTGTAGCAAATTTGTGTGTCAAGTTTTGGTTTCAGGACGTTGTACGGTTGAAGAAAACTTCTGATTTGAAACAAAGAAATCATTCAACGTTTCGTTTTTTAAAAATCCAAATAGCAATCTCTTGAATTTTGGATATCGATCATATTCCTGTACGTTTTTAATTATTAGGAACTAAATTTGGCGTAGTGGTTTTAATTATTAGCAACTTTCCGGATGCTTGATTTGCCATCACAACTTTTTGGGTGATAATTAAGTGTTTTAGCAACTTAAAATATTCTAAAAATCTAAAACAATCTGATGTCATAGAACACCAGTTTGAAGTGCACAAGTTTGTGGCAAATTTTCGTATCAAATTTTCGATGCAGATCGTTGCAAAATTATATAAAACAATCAATTTTAAATAAAGAATTAATTAAAAACTTCATTTCGATAATTTAAATAGCAACATTTTGAAGTTTAGAGATTGTTAAATTTAATTATTATTAGCCAAATACTTTCTTGAGAACTGCTGAATTATTATCAACTTATAATGTGGAGGCTTGGTAAGCTAACACAAGTTCTTGGGTGGTACTTATAAGTCTTAGAGTCTTAAAAAGTTCACAAAGTCTGATAGAATCCAGTGTTATATACGAGTTCCTATTAAATATATTTGTAATGCTGTTTTTATATTTTTTGTAACGCTTCTAAGCCTATAAATGATATTGATTCAATTTTACAAGTGTAAACTTTGTAGGTTTGCTTATGCAATTGTCGAATCCATAAAATGCTTTTGTTATCGCCTGGAGGAAATCATACATAGAATTTTGTAAATTGAAATTTTACCAACGTGCTACGGGCAATATTGACTGGTACCTGGTTTGTTCTTGCAAACGCTGTCGACAGATGAAAGCAGGTACCTTTTGTCCTGGACGCGTTTCTTCCCGAAGAGGACCATAACTGGTACGGCTGCGGCCCTGGCGAGAAGGCAAACCGGGTGCTTCGACTAGACTGAACACCGCCGTGCGTATCCACCAGATCCACCACAACCCTTCGTCAACCCAACCCCACCACCATTTCCATTGACGGCGGCCGATTTGCCATCACTCTTACTCTCTCTCGCTCATCTATACGATCCGGTTGTGAACGCGAAACTAATCCGGTGTCTTGTTTTGGTGGAACTGTGCAAATTTGGCTAGAGCGCTAAGCATCAGAAAGTTGACCGTGACTCTGTAAAGGTTTAAGCATGCTTATTTTTAGGATGCAGTAATCACGAGAATGGGCTGAATCTGGTAGATTTCTTCTACCCAATAAACTTTAATTTTAAGCACCTTTAAAATCCTTAAATAAGATTTTTATAGAAAAAATGTATGTTTTTTGGGCAGGATCAATCGGGGCAATTTTTCCCCGTCATTGTGCGGTGTTCGCACTAAAACGTTCATAAATCCTTTGGATTTTATCCCAATTCAACGTTTTTGCAACCGTCGGAAAGCAAATATTTTTCTTTTTCAGGCTATGTGAACAACAGGTTTAGGTGCTAAGTAATGTAAGTGAGAGAAATAAAAACGAAATAAAAGAAATCTGCTCAAACGTTTTATTTTATTTCTCCGGCTTCAATTTATTTACAAAGGCGACGTTTGAACCATTACGTGTAGATTATAATGTTCTAAAACCCATGTAAAGTTTTCCGCAGATAGGTAGATTCATTTCAATGTTACCACCTTATTGTGATTTTTGAAAGCAAAAAAGAAATAGTTTTTGGAAGGCGAAAGTTGAGGAAAATATTTTTCCCGAAAGATATGTATTCAGGGTTTTTGGGGGTGCACACAATGAACATAAACCTTGTTTCTTGACAAAAAAAATATCTACTTAGCTAAGTTGGACACTTCGCCAAAACTGTATTTGGCAACTACAATATGGGCATCCTAAATATTGAAATACAGAATTGTGAGATTTTATGATCGTGTGTTTCAACTAAATATTGTGAAAAGTCATAATTACCAGGTTGTGCATAGGTCATAACAATAACCTAACGGGGAGTGAAACGCCCATAACAACGGTCTGAAGGGAATGTATTTATTAGCAAGAACGGTGTAGTCCCCTCCCCGAGCAATATCAAGTTCTCGGGCATGAATCACTGGAACATGTATTGCGTGACTGTATCTGTTGGGTCGAAGGAAAAAGGTGTATGAGCAACAGTTCATATTTGTATCAGTGTATTGTGAGCTAGTGGAATGAAGTCTGGTTTGTAAATGTAATTTATTAGCGTTATTGAAGGGGCTTCTTCCTAAAAAACGCCGAGGAATATCAAGCACTCAGAGAAAGTGTGAAAGAGGTCTGGTGAGTATATTATTAGGATGAATAGAGGGGCTTCTTTCCCAATTACACCGAGGAATACGAGTACTCATTATCAGTCTAAATGGACGTCGAGTGAATGTAATTTAATAGCGTGAATCAAGTCTGGTGTTTCAATACAATTAAGTAGCGAGAAAGGCGCCCTTTCTTCCCCTATAATCTCGACGAATATGGAGTACTATGTGGGTTTGCGAATTATGCCTGCCTTATGAATATAATTTATTAGCGCGAAAAGAGGAACTTCTTCTAAGGATGAGATATCGCAATAGGAAAGGAAAATTCGGTTATCCTAACGTACAAAGCCTAATAGACGTGAAAATAACTTAGCTGCAGCATCAAAAAAAAAAAAAAAAATGAATTAGTAAGAATAAAATGCGAGAAGGAAATGAAAAGAACAGCAAAGAATGAGAGGGCTGGCGATGAACAATATAGATTGCTGGGTCTAAAACTAACCACATTAATTATACACTTATTGTGTATAACGACAAAATATAATTATTAATAATGTACCAAAATATCGCTGTAGGCATCGATAATCGTCAAAATCCTTTTTACCCTTTTTCCTGTAATAAATCGTTAATGCGTTTTTTAAATACATAGCACGACTACAGAATTTTCCTGTAGTACTCCAAGGCCGTAGGAATAATTAAAAAAAAGATGAATAATGCAAGTAAATGCTATTATTAGAATTTGAAATCGATATACTACTATGAAAATATAATTTCGTGAGTATTTATACAATGAAGATAATCTCCAACAGGAATGTTCATTCGTAATATTTCATTATTAATTTATCAAATCAGTCGCTTAATTCAGAGAGTAAAAACAGAAGAAAGGAGAATAAAAATCGATTTGTACAATTTTTACAAAACAACTGAATAGCTTCACAAAATTGTCTATGCTGTAAAAAGATTTGTGGTTTTACTATGTATAATTTGAATTCGGCTATCATTTTCAATAACCTGATCCCATTTTTATGCAGGAAAAGAAACAAGTCTTTGTGAGGTGCGCTTGGGGTATCTCACAACTGCAAAAAGTGAGCAATGTACCAGAATATATATTGCTATCCGAAGTTAGATTACGTGATTTTTTTGCCCGTTATCATGGTGCATGCGAACAGATTTATTGTCAAGTTGAACTTGACAGGTTCTCACAGTTTCGGATTAACCGAACTGAAATGGATCACTACTTTGAAATCTGGCCAAATACATACATGACCTTTTTGGCAAACCCAACTCGTTTCCTTTCAGGATGTGCTGGGCTGTTAAAATAGACAAACACCATTTACGAAGTATTGCAATGTACAGCTTTGACAGGAATCTCGTTACTTTCAAGACTTCACCGAAATCCTTTTAATAAAAACCGTGAAGCATTGGTTTAATTTCACATTTTCACTTTCAACCTGGCGTCTGTCGGCTTTAAAATATTTTCTACTAATAGCTTCTTAATTAATTAATTATTTTTTAATTCCAAAATGAGTAAAAGAAGGAGAGATGCTACTAACAAAGTTAAGAGCGACATAGTGAAAATGATTTCATTGAAATTGAATTTTCTCCTGCTTTGGCCGCATTTTGATCATTCCTTTCTCAATCTAGCTTCTTTCTTCCTTTCTAATTATTTTGTGAACACTCTATAAGAAACTAAAACACAGAAGTTGAACTAAAAAAGTTTATGAAATAGTACAATCGCACACCGGTTAACATTCTCCAGACAGTGCTCGTTGATTGAATGTGCTGTTAGCTCGGAAATAGCACATTTTCGACACAAAATTTCCCATTTCCTTGAAACACCCACTACATCAGAATAAAACCCCTGTGCAATATGCTAATGCAGTTCCTATTTCAAATGGGGGAAAAACGATTCTGACTTCAAACAACGGCCCTAATAAAAGTTTCGATTGTTTTTTTTAATCCCCTTCCTACACCGGATAGAGAGAATTTGATCTATTTTTAAGGCTTTTCGAACAGAATTTAATCGATATGGCTTATTTGATTTGGCTTCAGTGTATTCAGGGAAGTTTAATGACGTAAAAGAGCTCATGCCAAATTTGAAATTTTAACCAGCGTGACAAGCAAACAAAATAATTATCTCAAATTTACGTTCTAATTATAAAATTGAACAGCTTTTTGAAACGTGTTGAATGTTTTTATCATCAGTCTAAAAGATTCGCCACACTGATGAAATATGCCCAAAGCGAGATGAAGTTGATAAGTAATCTGAGATTTACATATTATCAGATTTACAGTTTATCAACACGATATTACAAAAAATAAAATTATACCTTAAAAACAAAGAAATATTTAAAATGATCAAAGCGTTGGGGGACCGCGGCGGCCGAGTAGATAGGCGTCCAACTAGTATTTGCCACTCTAGCGGTCCTGGGTTCGAATCCTAGCACAATCCATGGCTTTAACTGAAAATAGTTTGAAAGAAGATTGTAAAATCGTTGACCCATCGTCTTTTTTTTAAATCGAAGTGATTTTTTAAATTAAGATAAACAGTTGAACGTTCGATCTTCAGCTTAACAGATCAAATATTAACTATGGGACAAGTTTTGTTTTTACAAAATTAGTAAATGCATGTAAACTATTGAAATTTGAAGCCTTTTGTAAACAAAATGCTAAGAGAGTCCGATTTAAGTAAGTAAAAACGCCTGATTTCACTTGAGGAATGGAATCATTATTAACTTTGCTTGATCAAGTGGAGTCAACACTCTATTTTCTACCTGTACCGGCAAATACCCTTTCAGATCTTCCCATCCTAAAATCTCTCCCTTTCGACAATTATCCAATTGTAAAAAAAACTGAATCTCATAAGAGCCCTTTTTTTGTTGTAGCAAACTGAATTTTGATAGATCCTTTGAATTCGAACGATCAGGTAGGCAGAAGAGCTACAACGCGCGGCAAGATGCGAGACTTTTATATTTAGATTTGCTTAAATGCGGTAGCAGATAAAATTTATTTTCTTTTGCACTATTTAAAAATAAAAAAACATCCTAATCGAAATCTCAATGCAAATATTTATACTGAAAAGAGAAAACATGGAGTTTATTTTTAACGCCAATCAACGTTTTATTTATTTTACCAGAGCTGTAATTAATCATCGATTAGACTGTTTATTTTTTGGTATAGTTAACTAACCAAATATACAGAATGAAAATGAAGTCCTATTACGTACATTTTATCATCACTTAATGTGAATTTAACAATAATTATTTAATATTTTCTCGTTTATAGCACGAAACTGTTTCATGTGGAGCCTTTTTTGTTTTCTGTCTAGATTATCACACAATATACATTAAATTGTTTTACGTTTACGATAAGTTGTCCTTAAGTTAAAGCTGTTTAGCAAATATGTTTTTATAACATATAGTCCGGGTTTATAAATATGTCATTTGAAAACAGCAGAAAAAGAAAGATGGTGGTAGGAGAATCGACTACTCATCATACCTCGAATTAGTAAAAGGGTAAAAATAACTAAACATGTTATATTCCTTGCTGAGGTAGGTTGGGTTTGAACCTGTTACTGGGTTGTTTCTGTACATCCTGGTCCGCCTTTTCACGCTGTTTTGGTAGATAGGTGCGTTACCGCATATCGCCATGTTCGTTAGTTATGGTCGGGGTTATAAGCTAGGTGAGGCGCCGCGTCGTAGAATCGTGTCATTGGCCTTGTACG